TGCGCATGCTACCCGGCTGTCCATTTTCTTCATGAAGAAACTAAAATAAAACCTTGTTTTTTGATCTTTTTTGGGACTGTCTCCATCCTTTTGTGCTCCCGCGACGTGGACCTAAGAAGACCCAATTTAGGGTCTCTAACAATGGAACTGGCTCACAAACCTGTCCAGAAGGATGTTGACTAACGTATTTCCTGTCCCTTTGTGTCTCAGCTCATGCAAGATTTTTACAACCAAACCTACATGGAAAGGAATGGGAAATACATGGATAGTGACCTAAAGACAGCCCTCTGGTCGATCACAGTGTCCTTTTTCCCCCTCGGAGGATTCTTCGGGTCACTGCTGGTGGGGCCAATGGTGAACAAATTTGGCAGGTAATAACACGGAGCATCCTTCATGATGGACATTCCATGCCGTTCACACTGCTAATCCAAAAGTCTTGGGGCTTCTCAGGCTTCCTAATGCTGCGACCCCTTAATACAGTTCCCCATGTGGTGGTGACCCCCAACCATAACATTATTTTCGTTGCTAAGGGTTGAATGAAAAGTAATGCCTCCACCTTCGTAACTCCTCAACAGATGGCAGTACTGGTATGCGGCAGGTACTGGCTTGTTCAGAAGACTCTCCTCTTTTGTTAAAGGTTAACAGTTCCATTTTGGTACAGTTCCATTTTGGCAGAAAGTCTTAGCAGAGAAAGTAATGCCTCCACCTTGGTAACTCCTCAACCGATGGCAGTAGTGGTATGCAGCAGGTACTGGCTTGGTCAGTAGACTATCCTCTACAGTTCCATTTTGGCGGGAAGCCTTAGCATTGAATGGTTGTATTGTTAGAGTGCAAAGCAAGGAACCCTGCAGCAGGTTCTGGCTTGTTCAGCAGACTCTCCTCTACAGTTCCATTTTGGTGGGAAGCCTTTGCAATGCCTCTCCCTTCGTAACTCCTCAACCGATGGCAGTAGTGGTATGCGGCAGGTACTGGCTTGTTCAGTAGACTCTCTTCTACAGTTCCATTTTGGCAGGAAGCTTTAGCAGAAAAAGTAATGCCCCCGCCTTCGTAACTCCTCAACAGATGGAAGTAGTGGTATGCGGCAGGTACTGGCTTGTTCAGTAGACTCTCCTCTACAGTTCCTTATGGCAGGAAGCCTTAGCAGAGAAAGTAATGCCTCTCCCTTCATAACTCCTCAACCAATGGCAGTAGTGGTATACAGCAGGTACTGGCTTGTTCAGTAGACTCCCCTCTACAGTACCATTTTGGCAGGAAGCCTTAGCGTTGAACGGTTGTGTTGTTAAAGTGAAAAGTAATGCCTCCACCTTCGTAACTCCTCAACAGATGACAGTAGTGGTATGCGGCAGGTACTGGCTTGTTCAGTAGACTCTCCTCTACAGTTCCATGTTGGCAGGAAAACTTAGCACTGAACGGTTGTGTTGTTAAAGTGCAAAGTATGGAACACTGCACAGACTATCAGTCAATGCGACTTAAGCAACGTCCAGTCATTGAATTCTTGACAGCAGAAGGTGTCACCCCAAAGGAGATTCATCAGAGAATGCAAGCTGATTATGGTGATTGTGTTGATGGGAGTACTGTGCGTAGTTGGGCGAGTAAGTTTAAAGATGTTGAAGTGACACCTTCTGCTATCACGAATTCAATGACTGTACATTGCTTAAGTCGCATTGACCTACCGTCTGTGCAGGGTTCCATGATTTGCACTCTAACAATACAACCATTCAATGCTAAGGCTTCCCGCCAAAATGGGACTGTAGAGGAGAGTCTACTAAACAAGCCAGTACCTGCTGCATACCAGTACTGCCATCTGTTGAGGAGTTACAAAAGTGGAGGCATTACTAAGGCTTCCTGCCATAATGGAACTGTAGAGGAGAGTCTTCTGAACAAGCCAGTACCTGCCGCATACCAGTACTGCCATCTGTTGAGGAGTTACGAATGTGGAGGCATTACTTTTTCTGCTAAGGCTTCCCGCCAAAATGGAACTGTAGAGGAGAGTCTGCTGAACAAGCCAGTACCTGCCGCATACCAGTACTGCCATCTGTTGAGGAGTTATGAAGGTGGAGGCATTACTTTTTCTGCTAAGGCTTCCCGCCAAAATGGAACTGTAGAGGAGAGTCTGCTGAACAAGCCAGTACCTGCTGCATACCAGTACTGCGATCTGTTGAGGAGTTATGAAGGTGGAGGCATTACTTTTTCTGCTAAGGCTTCCCGCCAAAATGGAACTGTAGAGGAGAGTCTACTGAACAAGCCAGTACCTGCCACATACCAGTACTGCCATCTGTTGAGGAGTTACGAAGGTGGAGGCATTACTTTTTCTGCTAAGGCTTCCCGCCAAAATGGAACTGTAGAGGAGGGTCTACTGAACAAGCCAGTACCTGCTGCATACTAGTACTGCCGTCTGCTAAGGAGTTATGAAGGTGGAGGCATTACTTTTCATTCAACCCTCGTACTTCATAACTGTAATTTTGCTACTATTATGAACCATCATGTAAACATCTGATATGCAGGATTGTTAAAATTGAACATAATTAAAGCATAGTGATTCCAGCGGAAGTGAACGAGCAGTGCCTGTCATCAGTAGTTCATTGACTGGTGTTGTGGTGAAGGTTAGAGATAAGCGTCCTCATAATGTGAGTAGATCAATAGGTACCACTTTAGTGGGGAGGTGAAAGGGGCCCATGCAGATATACTGCCAATTCGATCAGGAAGGTATCCGTGGAAGTGAACGAGCAGTGCCAGTCGTCAGTAGGATGATGAGATGATGGGATTTGCAGTACCTTCCACAGATCACTGAGACTCCCATGACTGACAGACCTGGACCAAACCCTCATGACCAACAGAAAATATTGGATGGGTTTGGAAGGAATTGACAGTGATTTAGGGGAGATATAGTTCACCTACATCTGGAGAGCACTGTGAATGCAAACAACTATGGATCTGGACCAAACTTGGCATGGATACTCAATATGTCCAGGTTTGAAGACTGGTGGAGTTTGGGGGAATTCGACCTTGACATTTGGGAGTTGTAGTTGCTTGGAGGTGCTGGAGGCAATGAGAAGACGCCTCTAAAAAGTCAGTACAGGCACCTTCCCATCACTCCCAGTGCCTCTGCCTCTCTTCCGGATCGGGGCCAGGGGCCCCAGGTGGCGTGGACGGGCCAAAGGAGGTGTTGGCACAACCCCTCTGAAATGGCCCATCAACCCCTCTAGTGGTTGCGACCCCCAGGTTGAGAACCACTGCCTTAAACTCTGGCTTAAGGCCCCAACTATGCTCAGATGACAATAGAGAGAGATGCAGAGCTTTGGGACTTAAGTATGAGCCTTGAGTATCTCAGAGAGTTTTAGTACTTCTCCCCCTCTTCCTTCCCAGAAAGGGCACTTTACTGATCAACAATATCTTCTCCATCATTCCTGCCATCCTCATGGGGAGCGCCAGGGTGGCAAAAACCTTTGAGATAATCATCGTCTGCCGCGTCGTCATCGGCATATGCGCAGGTGAGTCACAGTTCTCAAGAAGTCACAAGAAGTGGAAGCTTTTCAAGCAATAAATAAAGAAAATACTTTTGAAAGACTAAGAATGTGTTACACCATTTAGTAGTTTCATATCTTGCCGGCTGCATAACCAGGAGGTGACAACACAGGCTCCTTGGCTTGAAAATTGAGCCAGAGATTAGCATGGCCTCTAGAAACCGGAAATGAAAAGAGAAGCCTCTGCCTTTATTTGTGTTTGTCTGTCTCATTGTATATAATTGTAAAGGTACTGAACGTTTGCCTATATATGTAAATGCTTTAATTGAAGCACCTCCCCAGAGCCAGAGATGAGCATGGCCTCTAGAAGTAGGAAATGAAAGGAGAAGCCTTTGCCTTTGTTTGTGTTTGTCTGTCTCATTGTATATGATTGTAAAAGCATTGAATCAAACTGATCAGCTTCAATGTGGTATCTCTATTTACCATGGTCCCGGTAGCAGACACCATGGCACTCATCAACCAGAGGTTCCCAGAAGACATCACAGCTCTGTTTCACCATTGCCTCACCACCAGCTACTTTCAGTGGGACAATGAATTCTACGAACAGAAAGATGGAGTAGCTATGGGGAGCCCTCTCAGCCCGGTCATAGCTAACTTCTACATGGAACACTTTGAAAAACAAGCCCTGGGAACAGCAACCAAAAAGCCCACAATATGGTTCAGAGATGTGGATGACACCTTCACCATTTGGAGCCATGGAGAAGAAGAACTCAACAGGTTCCTGGACCATCTCAACAGCATCCACCCAAACATATGGTTCAGATATGTGGATGACACCTTCACTATTTGGAGCCATGGAGAAGAAGAACTCAACAGGTTCCTGGACCATCTCAACAGCATCCACCCAAACATATGGTTCAGATATGTGGATGACACCTTCACCATTTGGAGCCATGGAGAAGAAGAACTCAACAGGTTCCTGGACCATCTCAACAGCATCCACCCAAACATATGGTTCAGATATGTGGATGACACCTTCACCATTTGGAGCCATGGAGAAGAAGAACTCAACAGGTTCCTGGACCATCTCAACAGCATCCACCCAAACATATGGTTCAGATATGTGGATGACACCTTCACCATTTGGAGCCATGGAGAAGAAGAACTCAACAGGTTCCTGGACCATCTCAACAGCATCCACCCAAACATATGGTTCAGAGATGTGGATGACACCTTCACTATTTGGAGCCATGGAGAAGAAGAACTCAACAGGTTCCTGGACCATCTCAACAGCATCCACCCAAACATATGGTTCAGATATGTGGATGACACCTTCACCATTTGGAGCCATGGAGAAGAAGAACTCAACAGGTTCCTGGACCATCTCAACAGCATCCACCCAAACATATGGTTCAGATATGTGGATGACACCTTCACCATTTGGAGCCATGGAGAAGAAGAACTCAACAGGTTCCTGGACCATCTCAACAGCATCCACCCAAACATCCAGTTCACCATGGGAAAAAGAAAATGAAGGAAGACTGCCTTTTCTAGATGTCCTAGTCATCCACAAACCAGATCAACAATTGGGTCACACCGTCTACAGAAAACCCACACACACAGATAGATATCTACATAAAAACTCCAACCATCACCCAAGTCAAAAAAGAAGCCCCATTAAAGCCTTGGCAGACCGTGCAAAAAGAATCTGCGAAGCCCACCTCCTCCAAGATGAACGTGACCACCTCAACTGGGCTCTCCAGGCCAATGGAGACTCCACCTCAGACATCAGAAGAGTTGCAAGAGCAAGAACAAGCCACGAGAGTCAAGATGAAGATCCACCCAGAGGAAAAGTGTTCCTGCCATACATCAAGGGAACCACTGACCGCATAGGGAAGCTGATGAGGAAACACAACATACAAACAATCTACAAACCCACCAAGAAAATCCAACAAATGCTACGTTCAGCAAAGGACAAGAGGGATCCTCTCACCTCTGCAGGAGTCTACCATTGTATACCATGCAGCTGTGGACAAGAAGTCTACAGAGGGACCACCAAACGCAGCATTGCCCAGACACGATCAAGGAACATGAAAGGCACTGCAGACTACTCCAACCAGAGAAATCAGCCATAGCAAAGCACCTGATGAACCAACCTGGGCACAGCATATTATTTGAGAACACAGAACCACTCTCACAACCACCATGTCAGACTACACAGAGAAGCCATTGAAATACACAAGCATGTGGACAATTTCAACAGAAAGGAGGAAACCATGAAGATGAACTAAATCTGGCTACCAGTATTAAAGGATTCAAAAATTACGACAGCAAAACAACAGAGGGGAAACAAACAGGCACATAAAATCACTCTCAACAAGAGATTCCCCCCAGGCGCTTCCAGGCCATTGAATGCAAATCAAGGTGATCAGCTGAAACATTCACAGCTAGCCTCAGCAGACAAGAGTCCTTTGTCCCACCCTGGTCATTCCACAGATATATAAACCCTTTTCCTACTTCCAACAGACCTCATTACCTCTGAGGATGCTTGCCATAGATGCAGGCGAAACGTCAGGAGAAAAATTGCCTCCAGAACATGGCCATATAGCCCGGAAAAACCTACAACAACCCAAAAGCATTGAATGTTTGCCTATGTATGTAAATCCGCTCTTGAGTCCCCGAGGGAAGAAGGGTGGAATATAAATAAAGTTGTTTATTATTATTATTATTATTATTATTATCATCATCATCATCATCATCATCATCATCATTCATGACAGTCGTGTTACTCTTCTATTTCTGGTTTCTTTTGCAGGCCTGTCTTCCAACGTTGTGCCCATGTATCTTGGGGAGCTGTCCCCCAAAAACTTAAGGGGGGCCTCCGGGGTGGTCCCACAGCTCTTCATCACCATCGGGATCCTGGTCGCCCAGATCCTGGGGATGCAGATGATCCTGGGGAACTATGACGGTAAACACAAGCTGCATTCAAGGGGGAAGTGTTTGCAGGTCACAACAAGCCACGATGAGCTCATTAAACCACAGTTTGTTCCTTTCGGAAACTCACAACTCTCCATTGCAACTGGAGAAAGAAGCTAGGGATGGATCGTGGTTTATTATTTCGACATACCAACAAGCTGTGATTCTAACCAGTGTATTCCAACAGCAAGCCAGGGTTCCTGGTTGTTTGTAATGGGTTTGTTTGCAAAGGCAGCTTCAGACACATCGATAAACAGAGGCTTAAAAGGGCTTCGGTAGGACAGCGGTTAAAGCCGCTAGCAGCAGGAAAGGCTGCTGACCAGAGGGTCAACAACTCCAAGCCACGAGTCAGGGTGAGCTCTCGACTGTCAGCCCTAGCTTCTGCCAACCTAGCAGTTCAAAAGCACACAATGCGAGTAGATTAATAGATACTTAGGCAATCCTTTGTTGTCCGAGTAGGATAATCTTATAGGGTGGATCCATATGGAGCCCTATTCTTGATTTGCATCTTCTCCCGCAGTGAGAGCAGGTGGAAGGTGGTCTCGGTCAGGGTTGGCTTGGCATGCCTTCCTCTTGGCATGTTTCTCTCTTTCACCCTCCATTCGTGCCTCTTCAAATTCTGCAGCACTGCTGGTCACAGCTGACCTCCAGCTGGAGCGCTCAAGGGCCAGGGCTTCCCAGTTCTCAGTGTCTATGCCAGAGTTTTTAAGGTTGGCTTTGAGCCCATCTTTCAATCTCTTTTCCTGTCCTCCAACATTCCGTTTTCCGTTCTTGAGTTCGGAGTAGAGCAACTGCTTTGGGAGACGGTGGTTGGACATCTGGAGTTGATGGTGGAGGACCATCACTTCAATGCTGGCGGTCTTTGCTTCTTCCAGCATGCTGCCATTTATCCGTTTGTCTTCCCAAAAGATTTGCAGGATTTTTCGGAGGCAACACTGATGGAATCGTTCCAGGAGTTGCATGTGATATCTGTAGACTGTCCACGTCTCGCAGGCGTATAGCAGGGTTGAGAGGACAATAGCTTTATAAACAAGCACCTTGGTCTCCCTATGGATATCCCTGTCCTCAAACACTCTGTGCTTCATTCTGAAAAATGCTGCACTCGCAGAGCTCAGGCAATGCTGGTGGAATTATTTTAGGAGTTGAGTGTGACATCTGTAGACAGTCCACGTTTCACAAGCGTATAGCAGAGTTGGGAGAGGAATAGCTTTATAAACAAGCACCTTGGTCTCCCTATGGATATCCCTGTCCTCAAACACTCTCTGCTTCATTCTGAAAAATACTGCAATCGCAGAACTCAGGCAATTCTGGTGGAATTATTCCAGGAGTTGAGTGTGATGTCTGTAGACAGTCCACATCTTGCAGGTGTATAACAGGGTTGGGAGGACAATCGCTTTATAAACTAGCATCTTGGTATATCTACGGATGTCCTGGTCCTCAAACACTCTCTGCTTCATTCTGAAAAATGCTGCACTCGCAGAGCTCAGGCAATGTTGGTGGAATTATTCCAGGAATTGAGTGTGACGTCTATAGACAGTCCACGTTTTGCAGGTGTATAACAGGGCTGGGAGGAAATAGGTTTATAAACAAGCATTTTGGTCTCCCTACGGATGTCCCGGTCCTCAAACACTCTCTGCTTCATTCTGAAAAATGCTGCACTCAAAAAATGCTGCAATCACTCAGGCAATGCTGGTGGAATTATTCCAGGAGTGTGACGTCTGTAGACAGTCCACATTTTGCAGGTGTATAACAGGGTTGGGAGGAGAATAGCTTTATAAACTAGCACCTTGGTATATCTACGGATGCCCTGGTCCTCAAGCACACTCTGCTTCATTTTGAAGAATGCTGCACTCGCAGAGCTCAGGCGGTGTTGTATTTCAGTGTCAGTGTTGCCTTTTGTGGAGAGGTGGCTGCCAAGGGA